ATCATACAAGTGACACCCCTAACCCAAGAGCAAATAAGGTGGCACCTGACAAGCAGCACCTCACCCCCATGTAAGCATGCAGACCCACAGTGGACAAATCAAGAAGTGGAGCATATAAAATTCCAAAAAAAACAAAAATCAGAAAAGAACTAAGTGACACATCATAGTCAAAATGTCAGACATCCAACAGAAGTACAGAATTTTAAAAGTAGTTAGAAAAAGCAACCTGGTGCTAGAATAACTATACATTTTTATGTTTAAAATATCTAAACACAAAATTCACTCAAAATATAAAAGACAGATAATAGGAAACAGTGAGAAAACTATTTTGTAATAGGGAAAGAGACCAAGAAATGGAAGAAAGTGGGAGGAGAAGGGAAGGGAAAGGGACAAGAAATAATTCAGATGTGTTATATACATGTTCCAACTCCACACAAGAATTATAAGCATCATGCACTATACACATGTACTAATTAAAATAAACATTTAAAAAATTAATTCAAAATAGATGGTAGACTTAAACGTAAAACTCACAGTACAAAATTCCTACAAGATAATGAAAGGGAAAATCTAGTTGGCCTGTATATACGGCAATAAATTTTAGATACATCAAAAACATGATCCATGGAAGAAAAAATTGATGTTAAGCTCCATAAAATTAAAACTTTTGCTTTGTAAAAGATCCTATTTAGTGAACAAAAAGACAGTAACACAGTTGGAGAAAAATCTTTGCAAACCTGTTAATAGAAGACTGGCATTTAACATATACAAGCTTATACAAAGGGCTCTTTTAAAATGACAATATGAAAATAAACAACTCAATTTAAAACTAAGCAACATAGCTCAAGAGACACCACACCAGAGAACATAATAGAGATGGCAACTAAGCCCAAGGGAAGATATGGAACATTATATGTCATCAAGGAACTGCAAGTTATAACAGCAATCTTATATAATTTTAACTAATAAAATGGCTAAAATCCAAAAATGTTGACAAGAATGAGGCACAACAGAAAGTCTCATTCTTTGCTGATAGGAATGAAAAACAGTACAGCCACTTTGAAAGTGACAGAGACCACATTAAGACAGTGCTGAGCAGTCTTTAGAATTCATCAATTGGCTTTCTATATTAACTTATGAGTCTGTCCCAGGCCTAAATGACTTGCCTGATGAGCCAGCGGCTGGCATGCGGAAACAGAACTCTTCATGCCAACAGTCACAGTAGAGGCCTGTAGTGGCCTGTGACACCGTGACATCTCTAAAAACAAGAGAAAACCACAGCTGAGGACAGTAAATCTCACTCAGAATTCCAGGACATTAACTGTCTGCTAACCTTAGAGATAACACAGTTCTCTCATTAAGCAAAGATTTACTGCTTAGAATGTCTTTGCTCCATTTTCATAAGGCCTTGCTCACTTTCATGCCTTTTGCCTCAGCTGTTCCCTATACTTTCCTGCATACGCCCTGATATGATATTCCCAATAGATAGTGGTCAGTTTGGAGAAGTCAGAGTTTTAGCCACAAGACTTCAGATGTTCCCAGACCCCTGTATACCATATAACTTTTGTGTACTGTCTTTTATCGTTCAACATATACTTGTCCAGGAGGTCAGGAGACTGCCCAGCTTCCCCCATAAAAAGAGAATAGGTTCTTATAAAATTGATCATACTTTTGCCATACAATATAGCAATTGTGCTCTTTGGTATTTACCCAAACAATTTCAATAACTATATCTATAAAAATGTGTCCACAAATATTTATCAGTTTAATTAATCATTGTCAAAATTGAGAATAAATCAAAATGTCTTTCAGTAGGTGAATGGGTAGGGAAACAATGGTACATCCAGGCAGTAGAATATTATTGAGCAGGAAAAAGAAATGAACTATCAAGTCAGGCAAACACATGGAGGGACAATATACATATTGCTAAGTGGAAATAAAAGCCAAACTGAAAAGTTACATACTATATGATTCCAACTGTATCACAGTCTAAAAAACAAGTCCATGAAAACATCAAGGGTTTCCAGGGATTAGAGAAGAGGAATAGAGGAATATATAGGTACAGTACAGGGATTTTTATGGCAGTGCAAGTATACTATGTGATACTGTAATGCTAGATTCATGTCATTACACATTTGACAAAACCCACAGCCTATACAATACAGTGGCTCATCAACTGTAACAAATATGCCATAGTATAGAAGATGTCAATAGTGGGAAATGTGTGAGAGGAAACCAGGACTTTATCTCTGTGCCTTCCACTAAGTTTTTCTATAAACATAATACTGCTCTCAAAATAAAATTTCTTAATCAGAAAAGATGCCTGACCCTAAATCCACAATGACACTCTTTAATGAAGAGAGTAAAGGTGGAATGTTAGCTTATAAGCAAAGTCAACAAAAGCACCACCAGACTGTTAATCCTCCAGAAACCTTCATAGCAAAAGCTCCCAAAAGTTTGGACTGTATCTAGGGTCCTCAACACCAACTCCAGGTTTGGAAATTCACTACGACTCACAGAATTCAGCACATAGCCACAGTCACAGTCAAGACTTACCTCCGTGAAAGGATACAAAGAGAAATTAGAAAAGAGGAACGGTGGGCTGGGGATTTAGCTCAGTGGCAAAAGCGCCTGCTTGGCAAGCGCAAGGTCGTGAGTTCGGTTCCCGGTACCGGAGAAAAACCAAAAAAAAAAAAAAAAAAAAAAAAAAAAAAAAAAAAAAAAAAAAAAGGACAATCAGAAATAGACAGGGAACTGACAACATGCAGAAGGAAGAGTTCACTTGGTGAGACAGGAAGCAAGAGAGAATAAGTTCCCAGGATGACTCTTTTTTTTTAATAGTGTTACTTTTTTATTTTAAGGAAAATAGTACAAAAAAAAAGAACAATAGCAAGATACAAACAATACAAAGCAAGGACATTAAAAATGATACAGGGTTTCAAACCAAATGATAGAGATTAACAGTGGTTGTTATATTACACTTGTTATCTTCAACAAAGTTGCTCAGATTACCAGATGTAAGAATAGAAGATTGATCAAATCATTAAAGGGAATAAGAAAATAATAATTTAAAAGAACATTAGAGACAATAAATACATAGTGTCACTAGGCAGGATTGTAGGAATTCACCAATGGATATTATACTGCAAATTGCTGCCGTCACATAAGTTCCTCAGATTACCAGATACAAGCATGCAAAACTGGTCAAAATATTAAAAAAACTTTTAATCATTAACTGTTCACCTCAAGAAACCATCAGACACCAATAGTACAGTTATGCCACCGATCCATATATATTACCACAGGCTGACTTTTTATAAGCACTTGCTCTCATGGAATCTCACTGGGGTATCCAGAGAACATTGATCCTTTCTGAGAGTAGTGTCCCCAATGACCTAGCCACCTTCCACTAGGCTCCACTTCCTTAAAGGTTCTTCTCCACACCACCACATCTAGGATGAAAATTCCAGCACGTGAACATTTGGAAGACACAGTCAAACTATATCTAAATTAAAGCAAACATTTACACCTCATGTTCATGACCTTATTATATCAGGTATCTATTTTCATACTTAAATCTTCAATGTTTTTGTCTTTTATTGGCTGTCTTATCCAGCACATTAAAAAAGTCTTATTCAGTTAATTCCTTCCTTCGCATGCCCAATGCCATTCTTCTGGATCAGATCGCCTACTGTAGATCATTGTAAAACCTACTGATTTTCCTACTTTCTAGTCTCTCCCTGCCAGTTTAAGATTCCTAAAACAGAATTCTACTCATTTAGTCTGCAAGACCAAAAGCCTTCAACATTCACACTGTCAGCAGAATTAAACAAAACACTTGAGCCTGAGACAGCACAGTATGCACTCACTTGCCTGATCCTGCCTTATCTTTCACTAGTCTCTGATAGTAATGCAACAGCTGGCCAATCCATTTCCCAAGGTTCTCCATGCTTTCCATCGTAGGGGCTAGTGACCTATATTTTAAAGATAAATTTCTCCATTTTTGTTAAACACTTTATGTATTTCTGAATGACCATCCCAAATTTAAAAAACATCCTTCCACAAAGGCAATTCCCCACATCCAAATATGTCTCCAATTTTCCACTTACACACACACACACACACACACACACACACACACACACACCTCTGTTCATGAATTTGACTCTTCCCATGATTCTGGTTGCAAACTGAGTTGGATGAGAGAGCAATCAAATTCAGTGATTAGGTTCAATGCTGCCTTATGGGGAAATTTGATTTGGTTGTCACCCAGTTCAGTTTGCAACCAGAATAATGGAGAGAATTGAGTTTGTGAAACAAGGCTTATTGATCTGTCTATCTATCTATGTACCTACCTATCTATCTCACATTCTTCTTGTTTAATAGTAATGTATATTATTATCTGAACATCCTAACTATAAGCTGCAGAGGAGCAGGAACCTAATCTTACTGCTTCTGTAGTCCTACTGCAGCCAGCATAGTGATGGACAAGTAAGCACTTGACAGGTAAGCACTCAACACTGTTTTATTTCACCGATAGCCACTATATGTCCCATATATAAGCAGCTGCACTACCAGTCCTCCACTTCCCAACAAAGGTAAGGATTTATGTCAGGGGAAAAATGTAAAAGATTTGCTCCTGATCTACCAAATAAAACACTAGATTAAACACTATCCTCCTGTGGCATGTGGAATTATAGCTTCAGACACATGAAATTAAAAATGACTCCGGAGGTCACAGAGTGCCAGTCTTCCTCTTACACACAGAATAGCTGAAGCCATAAGTGAAGTACCTTATCCACGATCACACAGGGAAATCGTGGAGTAGCTGGCTCAAGAACTTAGAGGGCCTGAGTCCCAGGCTACAGTTTTAAGGTAGGTGCCGATTGCTACATGGTTCTCTGCTGCGACCGGATGGGGAAAACCTGGCAATCAGAAAGCGTCACTATTTCTGAGGCTGAGCTAGCAACAGGAGGCAAGGGCAGGCTTTGTGAACATACCTCCTGTAACTGAGATTCTTTCTTTTTAGATGACAAATGCAAGTGCCGGTCCAATAAAGAATAAAACTTCTCACCATCCTTTTCAAATTTCTTTTTCCGCTCCTAGATGTGGGAGACAAAGCACAGATTAAAGTCTGTCATTTTAATTCTATATGCTTGGAAATGAAGATGAAGGAAACAGTGGCTTGTTTCATGTGGTTAATTCCTCTAGCACCTAGGAAACAAATTAAATGATAATTTTCCTTTACATTGGTCTCCGTCGTTTTGACCTCCTCAAATATAACCCAAAACCATTCCGCTTACCATTCTGCCTAGGTCAGTTTGTCCTGGTACAGTTGAAGGCTCTGGGATCTTCTACACAGAAACTAACAACTTAACAGGTTCTCTATAGTAGACACCATTTTTGTCCCTCCACTATTTTCAACATGCATTAATCGTCCATTCAATATTTTTCATTCATTGTTTAAGGCAGGGTCTTGCTATGGAGTTCGGGCTCGCCTTGAACTCACTATGTAGCTCAGGCTGGCTTCAAACTTGTGGCGATTCTTCCTCCATAGCCTCTTGAGAACTGGGATTACAAGTGTGCATCACCAAGCCCAGTTCATTCAATTTTTTTAACAAGGAACAGAAGAGTGGAATAAATATAACATGGAAAGGTTAATCTGCAATGTATTCAGACTGCCTAATATAAATCAAGTATTTCCAAGACAACAGGAACCTGGGACTGCCTCTTTGAATGAACTCTTTGGTATCACTTAAGGATTTCACTATTGCATATTAAAAGATGGGAGAAAACAATCCTGGAAGGTTTAGACAGAAAGCAAGAGCTGGAAAGATTTATGAGGGATAAAAGAACTGGCATTCATTCTCCTTAGGTACAAAATATAATTAAGTTCTCTGCTGCTCAGCACAAGTGGAACTCACACAGTCTCCAAAGAATATTAACAATGCTCATTTGTCACAGACTATTGCTGACATTCTACAGTCCTCTCAGTACCAGTCTGTGTAATCCAGGAAAACATCTTGTGTGGTGTGACAGGAAATCCAAACTCACTGAACCCCAATGCCAGGTACTAGAAAAGGCACAGCAAGGGAACACACAAACAAAAAGAGAAGAAACTCCCCTACACCTGTAGTTTATTGCTACATGCAACTTAGTGCTGAACTGGAAGCCAAGTCAGAACAAAGTGACATCTAGCCTTGAAACATATTTTTGCCAGACATGGCGGTACACACCTGTAATCCTGTCACTCTGGGAGGCCAAGGAAGGAGGATCTCAGGTTCAAGCCCAGCCTGGGCAACTTACTGAGACTGTCTCAAAAATATAAATTAAAAAGGGCTGAGGATGTATGCTTGCATTCAATCCCCAGTACAGGAAAAATATATACTAACATATACTTTTTATTAGAGTATTTTCTAATGGAAGGACAAAAGAAGGAAAGAAAAATTAATTGACACATCAGGACAAACACGGTGATACAAATATTTCATTTTTCTTAGTATATGTTTGCAGTACATATGGGAACTGGTACATATACGTAGGGACTTGGTACATATACATGATGCATCTTATTTCTTTTCACTTCCTCTTCCCTCTTCCATCCCTCAAATACTTAAAATGTTTTATCTCCATTATTCTTCATAACCCTGAGAAGCAGATAATGTAAAGAAAATTAAGATTCAAATAGGGTGAACCAACTTATTGAAGGTCACATAATCTACAGAACTGTCTAACTCTTTTCACATAGTCAAATATATCCCAGGTGATGGGGGAGGAATAACGATCAGAGGCCCTACAACTAAATAACTGCAGTACCTTGTGAATAAAGCTCAGATATGCCCATTGTCCTATCCCTGATGAAGATACCAAGCCACAAGAGGTGGAGATTTTCAAACAAAACATCAGTAGGACAAACTGTTCCTCCAGCTGCTAAATCAAATTAAAGTGTCCATTGTTTGAGGAAAGCACGAGAGCCAGAAAACTTTAGTGCCTTCGCCAGGAACAGTTAAAGTGTTGTGAGCCAATTTTTCCTACACTTTTATTTTTAAGGAAAAACCACAAGATATAGTTTACATCATAAAATTCACTCCTTTATACAATTCAATGGTTTTTAGTATATTCACAAAGTTGTGCAACTATCACTGCTACCAAATTACAAAATATTTCCCTCACTCCAAAAAGAAATCCCATATACACGAGTAAGAATTCCCCGTTCCTTCCTACTAACACTTTCAATAAGCCATCCTACTCCCTATGTGCATGGGTTTCTTATTGCAGCATTTTCATATAATCAGAATTGTGCATTATAGACTTTTCTGACTGGCTTCTCACACTTAGCATATGTTCAAGGCTTATCTACATTTACACGTATCGGTGATTATTCCTTCTGTGACTCACTATACAGCTACATGTGGTACACCCACATTATCTTTATGAATTCAGTTCATGTATATTTCGGTTATTCTTTAGGAATTTTATGAATAATGCTGGTGTGAATATTCATATACTAGACTTGCTGCAGTTATGCTTTTTGGGAGCATATGCCTAGAAGTTCAATTGCCAAGTAATATTAAGTCTCTGTTTACCTCACTGGGTAACTGCTAAAGTATGTTCCCCAATCGGGTGTACATTCCCAAAAACAATAACTGGAAGTTCCAAATTCTCCATAACTTCACCAGTACTTAGCACTATCTATCAATTATAACAACATACTGGAAGTGAAGTAGTCAGTCGCTAGGTTTGATTGCATTTTAAAATAAAATTCAATTCGAATAGATGTTATATGTTTTCTTCTTTCTTTTATTTCACTTTTAGAGTGCTAAGAATGGAATTCAGGGCTTTGTACATGCTAGGCCAGCAGTGTACCACTAAATGATACCCCCCATTACATAACTCTTCATGTGATTATCAGACTTTTGTAATTATTCTTTGGCAAAGGCTTACTATCCTATTTTATTCATTTTTAAAAAGAGGTGATCTATCCTTTTAGACGCACTCTCCTCCCTTCCTTATGATATCCACAAATTCCCTACCTGCCTATTCCCTATCCTCTCTCTTTTATTGAACTCTTTAAATTACTTGTATTATGGTTCTTTCATATTAGAGAAACCATGCGATATTCAACCTTATCTATCAGATTTATTCCACCTAGTATTAAGATCTCAAGATCCATCCATTTTCCTACAAATGACTCAAATTGATTGTTCTTTCTGGTGAGGAATATAGACATATAGATAGATAGTTAGAAACAGAGATAGAGATAGAGATACAGATAGAGATAAGAGATAGAGACACATAGAGATAGATAGATAGATAGATAGATAGACAGACAGATAGATCACATTTTCTTCATCCATCCAACTGTTTATGGGCGACTTCCCTAATGTACCTAATGTAAACAGCACTGCTACAAAAATGGGTACACATTTATCACTGTAATATGTAGACTAACTCTTTCAGAAGGACAACCAGAAGAAATATACCGGGATAAAATGGAATTTCTATTACTAGTTTGAGGAATCTCCATACTGATTCTGTAGTAGTTTACGCTTGTACCAAGAATGAAGAAGTGTTACTTTGTCCCCACAACCTCATCAGCATTTGTTGTTTTTTGAGTCCTTGATGATACCCATTCTTACTGGAGTAAGATGGAAACTCAGGCTTGTTTTGATTTGTATTTCTCTAATGGTCAAAGATGCTGAACGCTTTTCCATTTATTTATTGGCCTTTTGTACTCCTTCTTTTGAGAAATATTTCAATTGCCCATTTTTAATTGAGGCTTTTATTTTGGGGAAGGGTCTAGTCTTTTTAGATTTTTATATACTATTCTACATAGTAGTCCTCTGAGGAGTAACTGGAAAAAATTTGTTTAACATTCAGTAGGTTGTCTCTTCACTGTGCTGTTCGTTGCCTTTGCTGTATAGAAGCTTCTTAATTTGATGAAATCTAGTTTGTTGGTTCTTGGTATACCTCGTACAACTGGGCTTCTTTTCAGGAAGTACTTACCTAAACCTATGTCTTCAAGAGTTTCACCAACTTTATCTTCCAGCAGATTGCTTTTGTTTTTACATCTAGGTTTTGATCCACTTTAACTAAGTGTTACTACTGTTGGATGCTTTTCTATAGGTAATACAAGTATAGTGGCCCATTTAGTATATGCTTGCTGTTTATCAATATTTGGTTATTCTTAGTGTTTATACTGGAATTACAGATATCTCAGATATGGTAAAGTGTGGTACATTATTGGTTCTCTTTTATACTATGTCAATGTCAGTTTGTCTTGGATGAAACACTACTCAACAATATACTAGAGTGCACTTCAAATCAAAATTATCAGAAGAGGTAAAGAAGGTCATCAAATATTGGGCAAGGAAATAATTCAATAGGAGGAAATAACAATTATAAACATACATGAACCAAACACTGCGTCTCCAACTTCATCAAACAATACTAGACATAAATCAGATAAACACCAATTATAATGGCAGAGTTCAATACTCACTGTCACAAATAGATCAACTAGACAGAAAGTCATAAAGAAACGTGAGATTTATACCAAACCTCGAAAAAATGGGCTTAAAAGATATGTACAAAGTGTTCCACCCAACAACAAAAGAATATACATTCTTCTCAGCAGCAGATAGAACATTTGCAAAATAGATAAAACACTACCCCATATAGCATTCTCAGGTAAATGCCAAACAAAATTATCCCATATTCATAGTACACTGAAGCTAGAAACTAATGGCAAAAGAAACCACAAAAATTATGAAAATTAATGGAAAGTAAACAACACTACCTTAAATAATCAAAGGATCACAGAGAAATCTAGGAAGAAATTAGACAGTTACTAGAATCAATGCCAATAAAACCTAACAGAAACTTGAGGACACAATAAAAGCTGTCCTAAGAGGAAAGTTTATAGCTGTGAATTCTCACATCAGAAAACCAGACCAAGTCCAAACAAATAACATGATGATGTACCTGAAGGTCCGCAAAGACCAAGAACAATCCAAATGCAAACTCAGTTTAAGAAAGGAAATTAAAAGGATCAGAGAGGGTTTAATAAAATTGAGACTAAAAGAATCAATGCAAAGAATAA